CTCTCTCCAAACCCAGATGCCAGTTCCCTGCCATCCAGGCATCCAGTCAGGTGACATTTCTTCCTACTTCTTCTTTATGTTCTTATTCAGTGTACCCAGAGTCCGCAGAACCTGGCCATCAGTAAGAAGCTTTCCATATAAATACAAAAAGACAAGCATTAAGTGTAGTGCAAGAGTGAGTTCTGATGTTACACCCTGTGGGTTTGAAGGTCACCTCTACCATCACTAGCTGGATAAACTTGAGCTGTAAATGAGCATACCCACAGGGTATGATGAAATGGATGTACCCAATGGGCTTCACACAGGGCCACCTTGGGTTGGGGGTGGGGCAGTCTGCAGACAAGCTCCACTTACAACTTTCCTACACATAGATGTACATTTCAAAGGCCTGTATTCTGACTTATATTCTGCCTCATTTCTTTAGGATTGCCCTCTTATAATACTTCTGTAAAGAGTGGAAATTCTTTTTTTTTTTTTTTTTCAAACCTGGTTTTAAAAATTCAGGGAAAATAAGCTGCAAATTTTAAAGATTAATCCATTGAAAAGATAATAGTAAGTCTAAAAAGATGATTTTTTTTAATATATTTTATTGATTTTTTACAGAGAGGAAGGGAGAGAGATAGAGAGTTAGAAACATCGATGAGAGAGAGTCATCGATCAGCTGCCTCTTGCACACCCCCCACTGGAGACATGCCCGCAACCAAGGTACATGCCCTTGACCAGAATCGAACCTGGGACCCTTCAGTCCGCAGACCGACGCTCTATCCACTAAGCCAAAACGGTTTCGGCTAAAAAGGAGATTTCTAAAATCACATACCTATTCCATTCATATTAAAACTCCAGTGATTGAAGTTTTTATTTTATGTACAAAGAGCTAGCATTGTTTCTCAGGTATGGTAGATGTCTTGAATGACCCATTCAAGGAAGTTCATTTGATCCTGCTTGATGATAACTATATCCTTCGCAAACAGATGAAAACACTGGCGGCACATACTGAGGCTACGTTTCCAGATCAGACCCCACTGGATTGAGCAGACAAGGCCAAAAGGAGAAGCCTGGCTGAATTTTCTCCAATGGATCCCGTAGAGAAGCTGGTGACCCATGTTGCTCTCATGAATGTAAAGAGGCAACAGGAAAAAAGGCAAGAGGGAATTTCTGGCATTATGCTGGATTAATTTTGGCTTTGTTTCTGGGAACTTCAAGTAAATAGTATCCCTAGAATCATAGATCTGCAGGGCCTTTAGAAGATCATGTGATCCTGCCCAGCTTCAGGTGACATCTTATCCCCATTCAAGGCCAGGAGAGTTCAAAAGGTCATAGCTAGTAAAGGATGGGGGCTCAAAGGAAGTTAGGATTTACCCAATAAAACTAAGATATTTGATCACTTCCATTGTTCATGGTTCTTGGTGTCAAACTCTCCACCTCCTAAGGGCCAAGAAAGTTTCTGGACAATGGCCATGCAGTCCCCTTGGGCCAGTTATAATTAATGCTTCCTCAAGTCTTATCAATAAAAAGAGGACAATTATGATAATGACAAGATCAATGCCCTTCTGCTGTTATCTTATCAGTTTTCTTCTCAGTTCTGTGAATGGCAAAATGACAGCAAGGGAAGTTTTTCAAGCTGGAACAGTGATAAAGGAAGAGAGAACAAAGTACAATCCTCATTGGGGAAATTAAAGACAAGTAAAGAACTGAGTAAACTTGGGCACCTCTTCTGGACAAATACACTTTGACCTACAGGCCAGAGCCATGGGAAGAACAGTTAAAGATCCCCCGTGAGGGAGACCGCTGGTAAGCAAAGGATAGGTAGGTAGTAGAGACTTCTATTTTCAATCCAGCTGGACTGTTGGGAGATATAAAGCACAACCTATGTCATGGAGAAGAAGCATATGGCAAAAACACAGAAGAGCAAACAGCAGGAATAGAACACAATAAACAGAAAAGAAAAAAAGAAAGAAAGATAAGCATCAGTGGAGTTAAAAATCTCCATTCATTTCACCCTGACTGGTTTGGCTCAGGGAATAGAGCACATGTGTCAAACACAAGGCCCGCGGGCCAAATCCGTCCCGCCAGGCCTTGCAATGTGGCCCGCACCGCGCTGTCATCACTGCACTCCGCTGCGTTTCCATCACAATGACAGTTTATGACTGTTCAGTAAACCATTCGGCCCGCGATTTAGGCTGGATTTTAGATTTTGGCCCCTTCTCTGATTGAGTTCGACACCCCTAGAATAGAGTGTCGGCCTGCAGATTGAAAGGTCCCAGGTTTGATTCCAGTCAAGGGCATGTACATTGGTTGAGGGCACATCCCCAGCAGGGGGTATGCAAGAGGCAGCTGATTGATGTCTCTCTCTCATCGATGTTTCTAACTCTCTGTCCCTCTCCCTTCCTCTCTGTAAAAAAAATCAATTTTATATATATATATATATATATATATATATATATATATTTTAATCTCCATTCATTTCATTCTCCTAAACCAAGCAGCAGAGCAAAACGAAAAAAAGACTGTCCTGGTCATGGTTTCTTGGCCTCCTATCCTTCCAGGAGAACCAAGACTAACTCCACAAGGATCACCTAATGACTGAGTTTCTACAGAGACTATGGAGAGAAAAGAAGGAGGCTACATCTCATGTCTTACCTCACTGCAAATCTTCATAAATGGCCTCTTATAAACTGACCATTTTTAACCCATGTTTTCCCCCAATGACATCTGCCATATATATATATTGATTTCAGAAAGTAAATGAGAGGGAGAGAGAGATAAAAACATCAATGATGAGAGAGAATCATTGACCAGTTACCTCCTCCATGCCTACGGAGGATCAAGCCCACAACACAGATGTGTGCCCTGACCATGACCCCCTGGTTCACAGATTGATGCTCAACCACTGAGCCACCCCAGCTGGGCGGCGCACCTGCCTTATCTTGACATACTTTCCTGTCCTCACTCAAACTACTAGCTTCCAGACTTCTCTGGTTCCCTGCCTTTCACTTGCTACCACCAACCCTATCAGTATCACAGTGCATCCCACTGAACCAACCAAAATTCTGATTAATGATTACATTCAAACTACAATTCTGCACCCAATTCCAGAGTGTGGGTTTCTCACACACACACACCATTAAGCAATTCTGACACCAGCTGGGCATCCTACAATTCAATTCTGACGTTATCTACCCAAAGGTAGCATCAGACCCCACCGGTTAAGGGCTCAGCCCTACATGACTCCCTTCTTCCTCTTGAGATGCCGGTTGCAAGTCCAGGTGGTCACCTGTGCTTCTGGCCAACTAGCTACAAATCAGAGATTCCAAAAGCCCCTCCCTGGGGTTCAATCAATTCGCTAGAGCAGCTCACAAAACTCAGGAAGAGTTTACTTACTACAGTGGTCGGCAAACTTCTTAATCACAGAGCCAAATATCAACAGTACAACGATTGAAATATTTTTTGAGAGCCGAAACCGACCACTGCACATGGGCCATGAAGTTTCAATCGCACTGTACGTGGAGGCCCACCCATGGTATTTTGTGGAAGAACCACACACAAGGGGCCAAAGAGCCACATGTGGCTCACGAGCAGCAGTTTGCCAACCACTGACTTACTAGATTATCAGTTTATCCTAAAGCATGTAACTCAGAAACAGCCAGATGAGGAGATGCAAAGAGGCAAGGTATAGAGAAAGAGCTCTTAGCTCCCAGGCTCTCCAGGGGAGCCACTCTCCCCTAGCGCCATGTGCTCACCAACCTGAATGTTCTCTGAGCTTTGCCCTTCTGGGTTTTGCCAGAGCTTCGTCAGGTAGTCATGCTTGGTTAAACCAACGAGTGATGAATTCATCCTCCAGCCCCTCATTTCTCTCCTCCCCAAAGGTCAGGGGGTGGAACTGAAAGTTCCAACCCTACAGTCAGGTGGCTGGGTTGCCTGGCAACCAGCCCCCATCCCTAGGGATCTCCAAAAGTCACCTCATTAGCACAACAAAAGACACTAACTAGTCACTCTCACCACAGGAAATTCCAATGGTTTTAGGAGCTCAGAGCCAGAAAAGGGTACGAAGACCAAATACATATTTCTTCTTGTAAATCACAATACCAAGCTGATTTGTCACCTTTATCTCTAAAGCATTTCCCAGGGGGGCAGTCATTCGTTCCAACACACTTAATTTCACATTGAGAAATGTGTGTTTGTTTTTAATCACAAATATGACTCTACTCATCTATTCCTTTAGCCCACTGATGGAGTGGGTGATTTATTATATCTTACCTGGTTCTGGGGGAGATGGCAACAACTAGAAAAGGCCTCAGCCTGTTATTATTATTATTTTTTTAAATAACCCAATAAAAGACCGTAAGACCTAGGAGACATATGAGGAAATTATGAATCCCATTGTACTCAGCCAATGAGGAACCCAGAGGAGGGACTCTCACACCTATATAGCATGTGCTCATTACTCCATGTGTGCCTACACAACCAGACACCTGCTCTTACAAGCTCATATTAAAAGTTTTGTGTTCTGACGAAACCGGTTTGGCTCAGTGGATAGAGCAGCTGTCTGTGGACTGACGGGTCCCGGGTTCGATTCCAGTCAAGGGCAGATACCTTGCTTGCGGGCACATCCCCTGTGAGGGGTGTGCAGGAGGCATTGATTGATGTTTCTCTCTCATCGATGTTCCTAGCTCTCTGTCCCTCTCCCTTCCTCTCTGTAAAAAATCAATAAAATATATATTTTTTTTAAGGTTTTGTGTTCTCTATGGTCGAAAGGGGTCACATGCTGACCTGACAAGCTCAGGGGAGGCCTGCATGGCAGTCTTGCAAACTCAGAGACTTAAAGGAACCACAAAGGATGCTCCAAAATTAAACTTTAACTAAAAGCAGTTATGGTGGACAGTTACATTCTAGGCCGGTATCTTCACTGACAAGGTCAACCTTTATCTTAACTGAGCCTATCTGTCTTTTTGCATCTATGATAACATTTCCTTGACACGTCTGGGTAACTTGTAACTTACCTTTTTCTGGAGCCACAAATTCTTTCGTTATCATATTAAGTGTTCCTGTAACCACTAAGTATGTGTCCATCGTTTTACTTTTTATCTAATCCAAGAGTCCACCTCCCTCCCCTTGACTGCAATTATAAATACAATTGTAGCTTGCCATTCTCGGGAGCCTTATCTCAATTTGTTGAGGTTCTGCTTCCCAGCATATGTCGACAGGTTGGCTCAAACAAACTCACAAAAAATTTTTAAGGTTTCAGCCAGGACCGGTTTGGCTCAATGGATAGAGCGTTGGCTTGGGGACTGAAAGGTCCCGGGTTCGATTCCGGTCAAGGGCATGTACCTTGGTTGCGGGCATATCCCCGGTGGGGGGTGTGCAGGAGGCAGCTGATTGATGACTCTCTCTCATCAATGTTTCTAACTCTCTCTCTCTCTCCCTTCCTCTCTGTACAAAATCAATAAAATGCATTTTTTTAAAAAATCTTTAAAAAAAAAATTTTTTTTAAGGTTTCAATGTTTGTTTGTTTTTACATTAACATATTCATATTTCTGTCTCCACGTCTGTTATTTGAATTCGGACAGGTGAGCATTTCTCACACTTTCCACTAACCTTGGTGCCTCGAGTGTCTTAATTTTGGTCTAAGAAAGAGCACTGTCCAATAACCATTTTAAAAGAAAGAAAGGAGGGAGGCTTGGGAGAAAGGAACAAAGAAAAAGAAATGATGCCGCCACTTTCTTAGTTGGTGCTCTGCCCAGATGACAAAGCAACTTCAACAGAAGGGTAACTGGGAGTGGAAGCATCTCTCTCTAGCTCTTACCTAACAGTTACATTACAAATGATGCTCCCCTTTCCTCTCAGACAGCCCTTCCCACATGACTTGGTTTCTGCTCTTTTGTGTGTGTCTGGTCCTGAAGACAGAGAGTAGGAGAAGCCCTTCATCACACCGTTGCAAGCCCCTCTCCCCCTTCCTTTCCCACCTGGACCTTCCCTTCTCTCCAGTCCAAGCCCACCATTACTGGGACGCATGGCTAAGAAAGCTTCTTTCTAGCCTAAAGCCTCCCCATTTTCATAACAATGAGGACATATGATAATAGTTGCCACTTTCATATCATGTGGATAAATAGTCTCATGGTATTCTAAGATTTTATAAACAGTAATTATACCTGTTGTAAAGCACACCTGGAATTTGAAGTTACAAGGTGCAGTTACAAATTTTCATCACTAGGTGGCGCTACAATTTATGACTCAGGGCCTGGATTCCTTCCAAACTCAATGATATATTTGGAGAAATATATATTAATTTCTTAAAAGAGGTGGTTGATATTTTCAAATGTGTATGTGTCTGTGTGTTTGCATTTATAACAATAACTTTCTAATACAATAGAACTTGTATGGGGAAATTACAGATGGCCCTAATAGAATCCTTTCATAAAACACTTCTAAGCAAAATATAAAAGGAATCAAATGCATGCCCAATTAAGAGCGCTCGTACTTATCAAATACTTCTTTCATAAGACAACAATGGAATATTCCTCCAGACCATGAGACCAGTAACTTAAAACTGTAAGTGTGAGTTATGCCAATCTACATACCAGTCCTCTCTATAGATTTGTTTCCCAGAACTCCCAGCCTAGACTAGCAATAAAATTGTACATTTTCCAAATAAACCAAGTTAGCCTAATCCGGAAGGCAAAGCCCTCTCCTCTCTCATACTAGCCCAACTGACACTGACTTTAAGACACGGCTGGTTTTCCAGTTTTTCTCTTCCTTCGGTCTAACCAGTAAACATTTTGACAAGGACCAAGCTAATGTTCCTCTCCCGAGGACCTGGTGTTTAACACTTGTCTCAACTTGTTCTCATTAAATTTCTGACGTGCCCAGTTTACTGAGCCACATTTGTTCTCATGCTTTCTCTGCCTCCCTTCTACCTGCCCAAGCTTTAAGGCAGCGTTTTAATTTCTCTGGTTAGCCACATTCACTTCTCAGGCAGCCAAGAAAACAAGTTAAGGTAGAAACACAATGGGTTGGACACAGACACTGCGGGGGTGGGATGAGGATATGCAACAGGGGGGAGGAAAGATAGGGGAAGGTCAATGGGGTGGAAAAGGAGATATATGTACTACTATATGTAATACTTTAAACAATAAAAAATAAATTAAAAAAAGAAACAATGGTTTCTGCTGAGACACACACAAATATTAATATGAGAAAGTTTGAGTTATGGCCCCTTCATGTAACTGACACCCTCCATATTTTCATGTCTCCACTCCAGAAATCAAATGAAATCATAGGATTGTGAATTGGCTTTATTTTTATTTTAGAGTAAAATCAGTTAAGAATGGGGGTGTAGAAAGTGTTGAAGTACCTAAATAACATATTTGAATGTAATTCATAATTCCAAGTGAATTCCCCTGTCGCCCTCTTAATCCCTCCCATCAGCACCAGGAACTATCCCAACTCCTCCTTTGTGGCTACTACTGTCCATTCTTCAACTCGAGTCTCCCCTACACTGGCGTCCTTGCTAGAATGGAATGCAGGCTCACAGCTTCTCTGCTGCCTTCTTGCCTCTAAAACAAACAGAATGTTTTGGAGGATTTCAATATGGCAAATATAGAGACATGTTTTTTAAAGAGCAAATGCAGGAGGAGTTGCAATATGTCCCAAAGTGTTGGAGTGGCATTTATCCGCACAGTGCCTCATCCTCTATGAGTGATTTCTCTTAGCTCTTTCTTCATTCTTCTTTTGCCTCTTCTTGAGATCCAACCTTCAACCAAACATCCCTTTTAATTCAGGGGCTGATGCTACTCAGCCTCCTCTTTCAGCAAACACTTCCTTTTAGTCTTCAGACCTAGTTTGCAAATAACCCTGTTCAGGAGGACACAGGTTGTATGGCAACACTAGGAATTTTTGCTTGAAACCTTCTCATATTTATAATTGCCTAATATACTTTGAGGTAGGTATTTATCACCATCTCCCCCATTTAGTAGATGAGGCTGAAGCATAAAAAAGTTAGATGATTCGCCCAAGGATTGCATGGCTAGGAAGTGACAACATCACAACCTTTGCTCTTGACATCCCCGAGAAAATTTCAAACTGCTTCTATCTCAAAATAGTCCTATAGCTGCTATGAAGAGTTGCAGCTGCCTAACAATATCAGCTGTTTTCCTCTTGGCAAAGGGACCATGTGGAGGAAGGGAGGGAGGTGGTGGGGGATCACAGCGACCGGGTGGCATTGCTCACAGCCATCTCTGCATGTATTTAAGCAATTAAGGAGCCATGGGGCTAACAAAAAGTCTCCTTTAAAAACCGGAAGTGCCTCCTGGGAAGATTAAGCCTCCTTCAAAGACACTCAAACTAGTCAGGTAAACAAAAGGAGTTGCCCAGTGCAGCAATTCAAGTGGAGAATGCCTAACCACAAGTCAAGAGGTCTTTAAAAAATAAGGTGTTTTTTATACCGTAGAAGAACATCTAGCAATGAGAATGAATCAGCACCAACCACGTGATTAAATCTCCCAAACGTAAGTAACTGAAAGAACTCAGACACCAGGGACACATATCAGATGATTGCATTTTATAAAGTTCAAACATGGGGGAACCTAATCCATGGTGTTTTAGTTTTATTTTATGTTTATTCTGTCCATGATGTCTTAAAGTAAAATACTGGTTACCCTTGGGTAGGACCGGTGGAGGGGCAGAAACAGGGAGTAAGACAAAAGTGAGGCACTCACTACCTTCTTGGACTCTGGGAACCCTGAGCAGAGTTCAAACCTTGGTTCTGCAACTGAGTGATTTTGAACAAGTAGCTTCAACTCCTTGTGCCTCGGGTTTTTCCATCTATAAAACGAGGCTAATGATACCTTCCTTCAAGCCCTGGTGTGAGAAGTCAGGGAAACATGCATGTGAAGAGCCCCGCAGCCTGTGTAGGCGCTGTAATAAGTGGCGTTGTGAGCAGCCCTCCCCTGCTGCTCATGGCAGCGCAGGGTCAGAGGACGGAAAGGAAAGAGTGAGGAGACAGAAGCAAACGGGAGGACCCAGCTAGCCTGATGATCGAAGATATGCCGAGACCACCAAATGCTCTGTGGAGAGGGCCGTTTCTCCGTTTCTCCGCCCCACCGCCCACAAGGTCTCCTGAGTACTGTTGCCTACAGGCGCGGGCCAGCCCCCCATGAAATCCAAACAAACTCGTTTTGGTCCCATTCATGCAGGCCCTTTAGTTTATCATGACACTAGTCTGATAAACTAATTTGTACAGATGCTCTCCTCCCGGTTGCCGGCAGCTTATGGGATTTACCCTCCTGATGACGCATGGTTTTAACCAGAGCCGATGGACATATAAGGTCTTGACCCAGGAAGGATGGAATCTACCTAAGCGCAGGTCGGCAAGGAGCCAGAGATGCCTTTTTCCAAAAATCGAGACTTTTTTAAAACGCCGCGGGACACGGGACAAATTGTTACAAATTGGGAAGTCTGGTCACCTTACTCTAGGGCAACCCCCAGGGAATACTGGTCAACTTAGTCTAGGGCACCCCTGAGGGAATACTGGTCAACAAGCAGAGGAAGCGAACTGCTGATGCCGCAATGTGGATGGGCCTTAGGGCTCATGCTGAAGGGACAATGCCAGACTAGTCTTGGACCAGGGAAAAGGTACCCAGACTGTCAGGAAGCCTGGGACCAGAGGTGGGGGTGCCTGCAGAGAGTGTGAGGGAACTTTTTGGGTGATGGAAGTGTTCTATAACTTGATGGAGGTGATGATTATCAGGGCATATGCATTTGTCAGAACCAATTGAACTGTATACTTGGAATGGGTACAATTTATTTTATGCAAATTACCCCGTAATATAATTGCTTTTAAACGAAAAAAAAAATGATGGATGTCTTAGTCACAGAGGTTGTGTCACTTTGGGAGTGACTCTCAGGAAGGAGCATCTCAGGAAGTTGTCTGTGGTCTTGTGGAGGCACAAAAAATAACTCTTCTTCTGCCTTCTGAGTTCTAGCTGGGCTAAAAATCAAATTGCCATGAGACAGATTAACAGGGGAAAATGTCCAAAATTTATTACAGATACGCATTGGGGGGGTGGAGGAAGGAACTGGGGGGGGTGGGGGAGTGCTGTAAGCTATGAGACCCAAAGACCCATGGGCAGCTGAGGTTTATACGCAGTTTTGGACAAAGGTGGGAGGTGACAGAGGTTTTAAAGGATAGCAGGCAATTTACAGGTAGATGAGAAAGAGCAAACGTGACAATAAAAAATTCTCACAGGACCACCCCAAATCAGAGGGACACAGAGGGCTCAGCAGTCTCTGCCAGACTTCCCCTGCCTGCCAGTCAGTTTGTGAGGCTACCGTGATGCTCTCTTCCTTTACGCAGGTTTTCTATCCGAAGTCCTTAAGGTAGGTAAGAAGGGAAGATCAAAGATACTTTCTTTTTTAAAAATATATTTTTATTGATTTCAGAGAGGAAGAGAGAGATAGAAACATCAATGAGGAGAAAGCTGCCTCCTGCATGCCCCCTACCTGGGATCAAGCCCGAAACCTTGACTGTAATCAAAAATGGGACTCCTCAGTCCACAGGCTGACGCTCTACCCACTGAGCCAACCGGCTAGATCTCTAAGATACTTTCTGAGTCTTTTGTTTCTTAATAACCAGCTTAAAGTCAAATTCCCTAAAGGCAGAGTTTAGGGTGGCAAAACGCTGGTTCCCAGCACATTAACATCTGTCCAGTGCTTAGAATTAGCAAAGCACTTTCTCCTCTTTGAATCATCACACCCACTCGAGGAGGTGGGCACAATGAATCCCATTTTACAGCTAAGGAAAGAGAGGCACGGCCTGGCTGAAAGAGCCCGCCCAAGCCTTCTGACTCTGAATCCCACCATCTTTCCTGGAAGTGGCCTCACACATCACCCAGGTCTAAGGGAACTCAGGTCCAGCGCATGTAAATAACTTGACAAAAGCTGCGCTGGAAGACGTGCCCCCTCCCACAGCAACCGGAATGAGCTGAGATCTGGCTGAATGCAGCTGGGGGGTGGGCTTTCACCTTTCACTCCCCTCCAGCAATATTCCCTGAGCGGGACAGAGAAGCAATCTTAAACAAAAGCTCGGCTCCTCTGACTCCACCTCTGCCTGCCAGGAGCAGCCCCCACCCCACCCCCTCGGGTCCCCAGAGTCTTGTAACTAACAACTACAGCAATGCACACATGCATTACCTCACCACAGCCTGGCTGTTTTCCTAGCAGCGATTGTTCAAGGCTTGCTCCATTTCCCCCTTCTGTTGGCTGTACACCCTTCACCCATTCCTCCCCGCTGAAATCACAAAGCTCTGACCCCAGTGAGCCTGCAGGGGCCTCCGCCTCCTCCCCATAGTCCTCGGTTAGGAGGCCTCTGGTGCCCAGCGGTCAGATCCCATGGCCTCGCTGTGTGTGTGTGTGTGTGTGTGTGTGTGTGTGTGTGTGTGTGAGAGAGAGAGAGAGAGAGAGAAACACAATGGTGTGTATATAGGGGAGAAAGTCCGGGGAAGGAACAGTTGATGGGGGTAAACTTTGGGGACAGGAATTGGAGTATGGGAAGAGGAAGAATTTGACTTTCCCCCCTGTTTCTTTTCTGTTCCTCGTAAATTTTCCAACCTATACACATGCATTACATTTAATTTTTTATGTCAGTGAGGATAGTCTGGGTTGGGCCATTATGAGCCCTTTTCTTCTTATATTTATCTGTATTTAAAATAGAATTTTAAAAGAACCTCTGAAAAGTACTAACTTCCAAAAATGAAATAAGCACCTAGGTGCTCCTCCATTCCTCCACAGTGAACGAAACACGTAATAGCTTAAATAACAGAAGAACTATGAATGATTCACCCAAATAGATGGAGCCAGGGAGGGGTGCAGAAAGCAAGGGCCCGAGAGTGGAGGCCGCTGCCCATTCTCAGTGACTGCATCGCTCACCTTTGAGCCACTGTCACCCCTGTTTTGCACCTCCACTGGGGTCTGCTCCTGCATGACATTGTAATCCCTGAGTGTGCTTGCTTATGCCCTAGCCCCCAACACTCCTCAGACTAATTACTTGTTGAGGGCACGGCAAGGACTACCTTACTCATCTTTGATGTTTTTCAGGCTTAATGCAAGGAAAGTAGAAACTGAATAAGCAGCTATTAAATATAATATAAGGCTCTCTCTGTGAAGTTGGGAGGTCTGTGGGTTGACACCACCAGGTAGGGCTAAAGCAGGCGCTCCCTTTGTCTGCTCTGTCAAGCACCAGGTTAAGTTCAAACTCCTGAACGTGTTTACCAAGACCTTCCCTGCTCTGGCCCACACCTGCCTTTCTGCCTGGCTCCCAAGACAAATCCTGTGCCCCAGCAGTCAAACTGGTCCCTTCACCACTCCTGGAACGCCCCTTGGGGCTCCCTGCCTCCGGGCCCTTGCTCATCATGCCTTTCCCAATCCCTGCCACGCAAAACCCAAGTCACAACCCCCACTTCCTGAAGACTCGGAGACCGTGCCAGCAGGCTGAGTCGGTTCCCTCTTCCAACCTCCCAGGCGCTTCTCTGAGGGTGGGTCCCGCTCTGCATTGGGGTTATCTCAGCCTTCCCTGCCTTCCTCGAGGTGTCTATGGCACTGCAGGGCCCCAAGAAAGAAAGAGGCCAGAACCGGTTTGGCTCAGTGGATAGAGCGTCAGCCTGTGACTGAAGGGTCCTAGGTTGGATTCTGATTGCAGTCAAGGGCATGTACCTTGGTTGCGGGCACATCCCCAGTGGGGGATGTGCAGGAGGCAGCTGATCGATGTTTCTCTCTATCCCTCTCTCTTCCTCTCTGTGAAAAATCAATAAAATATATTAATTCTCACTGCAACTCTCATAGCTTTAAAAAAAGGAAGGAAGGAAGGAAGGAAGGAAGGAAGGAAGGAAGGAAGGAAGGAAGGAAGGAAGGAAGGAAGAGAAGAAAGAGAAAGAAAGAGAAAGAAGAGAAAGAAGAGAAAGAGAGAGAGAGAGAGAGAGAGAGAGAGAGAGAGAGAGAGAGAGAGAGAGAGAGAGAGAGAGAGAGAGAGAGAGAGAGAGTAAGGCTACAGGGGTGTAGTTCAAGTCTCAGGTAGAACCAGGGTAAAGGCGGGATCCAGGCTGGGGTGGTGGTAGGGTGAGAACTAGGCATGGGTGAGTCCATCCTAATCCCACCCACTAGGCGGCGCCGGCAGGGCAGTCTCATTCCAGGCAAGACGCCTCCGGCTTTTTTTGAAGTTTATTACCTGTCTAACAAGTTTCCTTCCTGCCGGGCTACTGTCCCTTTAAGAAGGTGATCCAGGTGAGGCCGGGGCCCGCCCCCCGCGCCGGCCCCGCCCCCCGCCCCCTCTGGGCCTGTTTGGCTCGCTCAGTCCTCGCGCCCTGGGCCAGCGGTGCGTGCGGGCCACTGTCCCGGGTCCCGGCCCCGCGCCATGGAGTGGCGCTGGCCCCTGGGGCTCGGGCTCGGGCTGCTGCTGCTGCTGCTGCTCCTCTGCACCCCGCTGCCCCCGGGGGCGCGCGCCAAGGAAGGTACCGACCCCCGACCCCCCTCCCCTGGCCGGGCTGGCACCCGCCTCCTGCAGCCGGCATTCCTGAGCAGGCCGCTCCGCGCGCCCCTCTCCAGCGCTCCCTCCCGTTTTATGCGTCGCCAGGGCATCGACTGGCCAGGCCAATCTTTGGTCTTTGACCCCAAACAGCTGCTTTCACGGGCCAGTCATCCCCGCCCCCCGCTGGGCAGCCGTTCACGCCTGGGGGTGGGGTGCGAGCAGCAGCAGCGTCCAGACCCCCCACTCCAGCAATGCGGGGGATGGGGGTGGGGATGGCGAAGGGGGTTGTGCCCAGATAGTCCCAGCCTCAGGTGCCCAACCCAGAGATCGGAACACTCTGAAGTCCGAGGTGGGAAGTTGCCTTATTGTCAACCTAAGCCGGGTGACAGGGAGACCTGCCTCTGGGGGAAGGGTTGGAATTCAGGGTGTAGGAGGTCAAGTTCTTCCAGCCCTGCTACCCCGACTTTCTAGACTCAGAGCTGTGCCTTGTCCTCCACTCCACAACCCCAGTCACAAGCAGAGCAGACCCTTTGCCAGTGGTGGGAGCCTCCTTTCCAGGAACCACCTCTGAGGACCCCCAGGGGCTGAGCAACTGTCTCACCCATGCACCCTTCCATCGGCAGCTGATGGCTCCCCCGCTGAGTGACAGGGTGCGAGTCTTCTTGTAGCAGTTCTTCCTAATGCTTCCTGCCTTGGGTCAAAGATCCAGCCCTCCAACCCTTGTCCCGCTTTGCCTTCCTCCGGTCACACTCTAGAGGACAACGGGCTATTCTCCCTGGAGCTCTTCACTCCCCTAAGCCTCCGGAAGCCCAAGCTGTTAGAAACAGGGTGTGGGAGCCTGAGGGGCTGGGGGCCCAGGATGAGGAATGTGTGCTGCACCTGTGGGGTCTCCTCCCTGGAGGTGACAGGCCTCTTTCCTCCCCACCTTCAGTCACTCTGATGGACACAAGCACCGCACAGGGCGAGCTGGGCTGGCTGCTGGATCCCGAGGATGGGGTAAGTGTCAGGGGAGGGATGGCTCAAGGCTGAGGATGGCTCAAGGCTGAGGGCCAGTGGGAAATGGGGTGGAGAGGTGGGTGGAGGAACAGAGAAAAGAGCAGGAAAAACTGGAAGTGTCTCCTCTCGGAGGGGGAGGGGAGATGACTCAGAGAGCCTTTTGAATGGGGCATGGTGGGGTGGGGGGGTCAGACTTCACCCCATGGAGAATGCTTCAATGCTTGGCTCCTCTCCTTTCTGCCCCAGTGATTGGGGGCGGGAGGGGACTGAATACCCCTGAGGACCATCTGGGGAGAGACAGGACCATCCTGGGGATGGCTGATGTTTAAGACAAAACAGAGAAGTATCCTCAATCTGAGGTCCATTCATCCCCATGGAGTTGCACAAATCGGTTCCAAGTGGTGAAATCTGTGTATGTGTGTGGACGTTTTTTTTTTTGTTTGTTTATTTGTTTGTGTGTGTGTTTTTTTCTGGAGAGGAGAACCAGAGTTTTCATCAAATTCTTCAATGGGTCTGTGACTCCCCAAAATTAGAAGCTGCCTCAGTAAAAGTCCCACAGCCCGTGGTACTTCCTCCATCCTCCCCAGCGCAGGCACGCCATGCATTCCAGCTGTTTAAGTCTGCTCCACGTTCCTTGGCTATTCCTAAAACCCAGTGAGCAGAGGTAGGATCTCGTGAGTCCCGCAGAACACGCTGGCCTCTCTGCAAGCCTGTCCAGGAACCATGGGAAGCCAGCCCAGATTCCTCAGCCTCCAGGACTCTCACCTTAGGTCTCCCTTCCCTCTGGTCCTACACCCTGTTCTCTGGGTACTCCCTTTTCCCTTTTCAAGTCCAGTAGGAATCGGCTTCTATTTCTGGGGTTGGTGTGACTTGCATTCCTTCCCTCTGGGTCCTAGGGTCCTGGCTCAATCTCAGCTCTCCCACAGAGTAGCCTGTAATTAGAATTAATAGTCTAAACCATAATGTATCCTACAGGAGGGGCTGCTTGGAAAATCCTGGATAAGGCCAACCCTAATAGGCGCCTCGTCTCATAAACCAGCTAATCACTCCACAATGAGACTACAGGTCCACCTGCTGGCTCCCACGGGCCTTCGCTGTGCCCTTGCCACCTCCACCCAAATAACTCTTCCCTAATTGGGCCAGAGTAGAAGCCAGGTGCCTTTCGAAGCTCAGGCTAAACAGCACTGGGAGGACAAGAGAAGACAGCAGCAGTTACACAATCCCACTGTCTTCCTTGTCCTCTCTCCTCCTCATCGTGTTTTCAAAACACACACTCAGGTCCAGGCTTCCCAGAATGTACACACGTAGCAGCCAGCAGCGCCTGAGTGATAAGTGAAAGGATCCTTGCGGCTGATCCTGGGCAGCTGTTTCTCCCTCTCGCTCAGCTCCCCGCTGGAATGAGGAGAGGCGAGGTACAGCTGGGGACATCTGCTTCTCTTGGCTCCAGCTGCAGGCGAGCTAATGAGCCGCACATTAACCACCCACCACCCTCCCACCTGCCCGCCACTGCATGCGTGCCTTACACTTGGCTTCCTCGTCACAGCTGCCTCTTACAAACAGGCGCTGGGTGCCTCCTATCCTCCCAGCTTCAGTGCTTCCACACCTCTTGCCCAATCTGTGAATTACCTAGCTTACTGCAAAACTCTGCTCCTGCCCCACGCCATCCCAAATTCCTTTCCCAGAGCTGAGAGTAGCCATGAGTGCCCTTGCTTTATAATGGAGTGAAAGCCCTTGGGAAAGTGAACTTTCTCAGGTAAGGGCCTCGTAGTCTCTTCTTTATAAAATAAGGGGGTTTCAAGCAAAATACAGAATTTCGGAGTTTCTTATGTTCAGACATCAGGGGAAATACAAATAGCTAATATTTATTTTAAAGAAAGAAGAATAAAATGGGAGGCTTGCCCAAACACCGGAACATATTACACAGCAACTATAATGAAAGCGTGTGTCATTGCACAAGAATACGCAGGTCAATGGAACAGAATAGGAAGTTCAAAAAACAAGTCCACCTATATGAGATTTTAGTGTGTGATAGCATTGGAATTATCAATCAATGTGGAAAGTATAAAATCATCACTAACTCGACAATTGGATGCCTATAATTAAATAAAAAAGCAACATTACATCTCCACACTAAACAAAAAAATAATAGATTCTAGGGAGATTAAAATCTAGACCTGAAAACCAACCCTACAAAAACATTAGGAGAAAATAGAGAATATCTTTATAAGTTTGGGATGGGAGAGCTAACCAAACAAAGCACACAACTCCAAAACCCTAAAGGGAAAGATTATAGATGTTATTGTAGAAAAATGTTAAATAATGTCAACATCAAAGATATTAGCAAAATAAAGTGGTGTGACAGGGAGAAAATATTTGAAACATTCATTTCAAGCAAATGGTTAATGTCTATAATATTTTTTTAATTCATCCAAATGAACAATCAAAAGATAACAATAGATCACCCCAATTAATTCCATTATAAATAACTTATACAGTAGAATATCAGACAACAGATAATTGCTTAAAAATACAAATAGCCACTGAAGCCGGTTTGGCTCAGTGGTAGAGCGTCGGTCTGCGGTCTGAAAGGTCCCAGGTTCGATTCCGGTCAAGGGCATGTACATTGGTTGCGGGCACATCTCTGGTAGGGGGTGTGCAAGAGGCAGCTGGTCTATGTTTCTTTTATCAACGTTTCTAGCTCTCTATCTCTCTCCCTTCCTCTCTGTAAAAAAATCAATAAAATATATTTAAAAAAAATACAAATAGCCAGTGAATAAAAGAGAAATGTACAACCTCATCTCAAAAAAATGTAAATTAAAATGGCAAGAAGCTATGTCCTATCCATAAGACTGGCCAAAAGTAAGAAAATTATTACTATCTAGTGTTGATGAGCTTTGGAGAAAATGAGCTCTTAGGTACTGTTGGTGGAAGTATAAACTGATAAAGCCTTTTTGGAGGACAATTTGGCACTATCTTATGAAATGTGTAATATGTTTATTCTTTGATACAGCAATTCTATAGAGTTTTGATAGAAATTTGTACATGGTTACTAAAACAAACAAACGAAACAAACAAAAAACACCCTAGAAGCTACTTAAATATACAACCATAGATGAATGATTAAATAAATTCTGGTACATCTATACAATGGACAAGTATTTAATGGATTGCTGAAAAGAATTAGGTAGAATTAGGTATATATACTCATGTGGACATCTTTCAAAAAACAAAAAGTAGCTTACAGAATAATACATGTATGTTTAAAAAAACACATTTATGTTGAACACATACACACATAATAAAACATTAAGACACAAGCATTCAGACCCACTGGCCAAGAGTTGGACACGCTTGCGAGGTACTGAAAATTGTCTGTAAAATTTTACTCCCAATTGTTAAGAGTGGCTTCCTCTGGCAATGGAGTGGATGGATGGGAGAACTTTCACTTTTTAATATATGCAAATGTTTGTCCTTTGACTTTTTATATTAATCATATAAAGACATAATAATTAATAGTATTAACTCAGGAGCCTAGAGGGCCTGGGTCCACATCCCAGCTCTGCGTCATAATAGCTGAGTGCCTTGGGCAAGTCATTTAACTTGGCTGTGACTCAGTTTCCTCATTGGAAGTGCTTGTAACTGTGACTAGCCCATGGGAAGCATGATATTAGAACTATCCATTATTAACAAAGTTTAAAAATTCTTTTAATGTAAAAGAAATTAAAGGGGAGGATGTCTTAGAGTTGCTGATTTCAATGGTGGCCATTCCTGGAATACATGTTAGAGAGGGTGAAATTCCCTTATTATTATTGTTTTTTTTTTTTAAATATGTTGTTGCTTTTTTTTTTTTTTTTTTTCTTCAGAGAGAGAGGAAGGGGGAGAGAGAGACATCGATGTGAGAGAGAAACATCAGCTGCCTCCTGCATGTCCCCCAGTGGGGATCAAGCTACAACATGGGCATGTGCCCTAACTGGGAATCGAATCAGCGACTCTTCAGTACATTGGAGGATGCTCAACCAACTGAGCCACACCAGCGAGGACAGAGATTCCCTTATACAGAAAAGTTTTTTGCTGCCTCTTGCTCTCCAAGTAGGCAGAAAGGCTTTGTGAATAAGCTTTTGCTATAAAAGTCTGTCCTTGCGGTACTTTACAGCTCTACTGATGATATAGGTCAACATTGGTGTTCAGACACTTGCACCTGGGGTGGGCTAACAGAAGGGACAATGGCTGGCTAGGGAGGTGAAGGGGGTATTATATTGCCTGTCCTATATCCAAATAAATCCCTGACCCTAACACTTAACCTACTTTCCTAGGGATGACGGGTGGAGAGCAGGCAGGACAAATAGTGTGAACCAGGGGCTTTGACACAGACCTCCCACCGTCACATCTAGAAAACGGGGGTTTGGGAGTAGAAGATAGATGGTGCCTGGGAATGTGACTTTGATGTTCCTCTGGCAGTGGAGTGGGATGCAGCAGATGCTGAATGGGACGCCCCTCTACATGTACCAAGACTGCGCAGTACAAGGAGGAGGAGACACTGACCACTGGCTCCGTTCCAACTGGATCTACCGAGGGGAGGAGGCTTCTCAAGTCTACGTGGAGCTTCAGTTCACCGTGCGGGACTGTAAGAGTTTCCCTGGGGGAGCCGGGCCTCTGGGCTGCAAGGAGACCTTCAACCTCCTGTTCATGGAGAGTGACCAGGACGTGGGCATTCAGCTCCGACGGGCCATGTTCCAGAAGGTACTTTCACTCCGCGGTGCCATTTCGGTCCTAACCCTGATCCCTGACTCACTCTTTTCCATGTGCCCACTCAGCTAAGAAAAAGAGATGGTGCCAGGAACAGGAAGAGGGTCTAGGTGTCAGATATAGAAAAGACAGTGGGACTGGAGTTCAGAGGAACTGGATTTGCGTGTCCTTTCTGCTGTGTCCCGGTTTTGGGTGCAGTACTCAACTTCTCTGAGCTTTTTCCTTGTCTTAGCATAGAGATCATAGTGCCAGCCTCGTCAACTGGCAGGCATCCGCTGAGGTAACGGCCTGGTGGAGGCAGGGGAGAGGTGTTTCAGCTTCTTCCATTAGTATCCACGCCATCCTGCACGCCCCATCCCCAGAAGTATTGTTAGTTGTGTTGGAAGATAGTCCCCTGCAGGTTCTCTCTCATATCGCCCCTTCCTTTCCTACTTCAAAAAAATATGCTGAAGTGCTAGAGACTTAGGAGCACACGATTATAGGATGTGCTCACATTTGTTTCCCCAAGAGATGCTGCTGTCAAGTTTGTGATTAGTACTAAATTAATCGTGACTCACTTTATAACTGATGACCCCATTGCCACAGAGGCGGGAGCCACAACTTCAAATGGCAGGAGTCATATGAGCTGTAGCCCCACTGCCTAGGTTCCAGACCCAGCTGTGTGGTCTCAGACAAGGTCTTGAACCTCTCCGAGCTTCGGTCTCCTCAGCGGTTAGACGGGGATGGCTGTTCATCCCACCTCAGAAGGTCACCGCGTGGACTCGGTAGCATAGGCTTAGCTCAGTAGCTCACGCAGAACCAGCGCCCGGTTTACGGCTGTGTAATTGTAAAACACTCAGCAAGCAGTCGCTTCTGCTGTGTGATCGCTCCCCTCTGCCCCCGCCTTCTCCCCAGGTCACCACGGTGGCTGCAGACGAGAGCTTCACCATCCGGGACCTTGCATCGGGCTTGGTGAAAATGAACACGGAGCGCAGCTCCCTGGGCCTCCTGACCCGCCGCGGCCTCTACCTCGCTTTCCACAACCCAGGGGCCTGTGTGGCCCTGGTGTCCGTGAGGGTGTTCTACCAGCGCTGCCCTGAGGCCGTGCATGGCTTAGCCCGGTTCCCTGACACTCTCCCTACACCTACCAAGCTGGTAGAAGTGATGGGGACCTGCTTGCCCCACGCCCAGGCCAGCCCCTCAGGAGCACCCCGCATGCACTGCAGCTCCGAAGGCGAGTGGCTGGTGCCAGTGGGGAGGTGCCACTGTGAGCCTGGCTATGAGGAAGGCAGAGAGAGATGCCATGGTAAGGAGGCTCAAGGAGAGGTGGTGACAACCTGCAGGGTCTTGGGGGAGGGAGACAGTGTCCAAGTTGCCAAGGGAGGGAGGGACAGAGATTATGTAACTGGATGAGTGTCTGAGGGCCCCAGAGAGACACATGCAAGGGTGTTTCCACTGCAGGGGTGAGGGGAGGGTGCGATTCTACCTGGAAAAGCATGGGACAACCGCAGCTCTGTTCATTCTCTCTCCAGCCTGCCCAGGCGGCTCCTACCGGGCAAATGTGGACTCACCCCGTTGTCTCAAGTGCCCCCAACACAGCCTGGCTGAGTCTGAGGGGGCCACCATCTGTGCCTGTGAGAGTGGCCATTACCGAGCCCCTGGGGAGGGCCCGCAGGCGGCGTGCACACGTGAGTCCTGGCACAGGGCCTGGCCATCCGCGAAGAGGTGCGGGCTCCTTGCTCAGCCCGGGTTAGGCTGGCATTGCCCAGAGCTGATTGGGTATTGGGCACTGAATCAATCACTTCAAGACTCTCCCCTGGCCCTTCTCCCCCCGGGAAAAAGCAGAGCCATAGTAAAGTTTCCTGTGGCTTTTGGGGGACTTCAAGAATCAGGGCGGTGGGGAGCCAGCAGCTTGGGCTTCTACTGATGGCCCCTCTCTTCCCACAGGTCCCCCCTCAGTCCCTCAAAACCTGAGCTTCTCTGTTTTGGGGACCCAGCTCTCCCTGCATTGGGCAGCCCCAGCAGACTTGGGGGGGCGCCAGGATGTGAGATACAGTGTGGGGTGTTCTCAGTGTCGGGGAGCAGTGCCAGGTGAAGGCCCCTGCCAGCCCTGTGCGGGAAATGTGCACTTCTCCCCGGGGGCCAGCGAGCTCACCGCACCTGCTGTGCGCGTCGAGGGCCTCGAACCCTTCGCCAACTACACCTTCCACGTGGAAGCCCACAACAGAGTATCAGGGTTGGGCAGTGCCAAGCCCTCCCGTGCCTGGCTCAGCGTCCACATGGGGCACACAGGTGAGGAGCCCGGGGAGGGGCAAGAGCACATGGAGGGGCCGGAAGCCATCCAACAGCTTCTCAAGTAATTTCCTCTTTCCTTCCACATGCGCCGGCTCCCTCTGGACTCACAGAGTCACCAGTAGGCCTGTCCCTGAGGCTGGTGAGGAAGGAGCCCCGGCAGCTGGAGCTGACCTGGGCGGGGTCCCAACCCCGCAGCCCTGGCGGGAACCTGACCTATGAACTACATGTGCTGAACCAGGTGAGAATCTCCATGTCCTTGCCCTGACTATTTACCAACCCTCCCCCTTCCCATGTGCTCCCAAGACCGCCCCTTACCTCCACCAGGCCTGGCTCCACCCAGCCCACTCAACCTGAGTCCCCCACCCACAGAATGAAGAGCGGCACCAGACGGTTCCAGAACCCAGGGTCCTGCTGACTGATCTGCAGCCAGACACCACGTACATCGTTAGGGTCCGAATGTTGACCCCGCTGGGCCCCGGCCCATTCTCCCCTGACCATGAGTTTCGGACCAGCCCACCAGGTGGGTGGCTTGTCCTTTGTTCTGCCCCAAACACACAGACACCTGTCAACCCAGGGAGGCTTCTGAGACCCTGTTCCAGTCTCTCTCTACACATGCACGCATACACACAAGCACACGCAGAAGCTGCTTCAGGGGAGACTCACACCAGCCTTCTCACACACACCTTCCCGACACTGGATACTTCTGACACAACACCCTCAGATCTCCTAAAGGCCCAGCCGCAGGCAGCCTAAGCCAGACCTCTGTGGCAGCCCTTTCCACATATTCTCTCTCCTTCCCTCCCTCCCTCCCTTTCTTTCTCCCTCCCTCTCTCCCTCTCTCTCTCTCTCTCTCTCTCTCTCTCTCTCTCACACACACACACACACACACACACACACACACACACACCTGTCTCCCTGGACTTCTTCGTCCCTGTGGACTCTGACCCCCCGACTTCCTCACCTGTTGCCACAGTTTCCAAGGGCCTGAGTGGAGGCGAGATCGTGGCCATCATCTTCGGGGTGCTGCTGGGCGTGGGGCTGCTGCTCGGGATGTTTGTCTTCCGTTCCAGGTGCTACTCCTGCCCCTCCCCAGCTACCACCCTGGGACCCTTGTCTGGTTAGAAGGCCCTGAATGCAGCCCCAAGGACCCTCCCACCCCCTAACACCAAAGCTCCACTGTGTCCCCACCTTCACCCTGCACCCTGGGGGAAACTCAGCCAAGGCCATCGGGCCCCTGATGTGGTACTGCAACCCTGGATAAATTGTCCACACCCCTACCCTCATCCGCAGGAAACGTCGACAGCGACAGCAGCAGAGGCGGCTTGATCATGTCACTAATGTGAACAGAGGTGAGCTAGGAGCAGCTGTGTGTGTGTGTGTGTGTACTTGCATATATGTTGGGAGGTGCCCCTGGGATAGAACCAAGGAACTCAATTCTGAGAGCACAAGTGAGCTCTATTGTCTTTAGGCTTCTCGTGTTTTGCTACCTAATTAACTTTGGTTAATTAACTTTCTACTGATGGTGCCCCAGAGGCTCTGTGCAATTACCTGTTAGCTGTCGGTGCCACTGTACCCGGGCTCTGGGCAGCCTCCCCCACCCTGGTCTGGGCTGAGGCTGGGTGGAAAGGGGATTGCTTGGCAGGCTCCCTGAAGTCCTCCAAGGCATATGGACTCCCTGCTGGTCACCTCATTAAGTGTCCCCAAATAGGGGAGTCCGCAGTCCGTCCAAGTAATGGGGCGGGAGTGAGGTCTGCCTGGGAATGTGAACTGAGGCGCGAGTGACTGGAGGAGCATGGCAAGCAGGGGCAAGGAGGAGGGAAGGCATGTGAAGCCTGGGTCAATGAGCCAGGGGAAGGCTGGGGCACTTGAGGCCAAGAACACTCTTGGGTCTGGGTTCTGGCCCACTGCTCTGGGCCTCAGAGGGCGAGGACACAGGAGCTTTGCGCATAGACAGGAGGAAGAAAAGCTGGCTGTGGAGGCTTCATTGCTGAGGATAGAGGCTTTCTCCCACTTCAGCCAAAACAGGACTCCTCAGGGAACAAGAAGAAGTTCGAGGTCTGCTGCCAGCCCCTCTCCCCTTACTCCTGAGCCCTGCAGTTGGCGCTCCTGGGGCCGAGCCTTCCCTGTTCTCCCTGCAGGGGACAAGCAGAGGCTGAAGCCTTACGTGGACCTCCTGGCGGAACCCATGATGTATGAGGACCCAGCCCTGGGGGCTCTGGACTTCACCCAGGAGCTGGATCCAGCCTGGCTGATTGTGGACACTGTCATAGGGGAAGGTGAGCCCTGCTGTTTCCTCTAGGTGGCAGCACAGAGCCACTTCCTTCTGGCCTTCCCTGCGGAGCCCCGCTGGCCTCTCCTCTGGCCCCAGAGCTCCCAAATGAGTTCCTCTCTGCTCCACCCTGTCTCCTTGAACTGCTGTGGTCACAGCCCCCTCATTGAGTGTCCTGGAATAGCCCCCACCTCATACACAGCCTGCCTCATGCATTACTGGGATGGACTGTGGTTATGGAGCTTTTGATAAAGAGCATTAGATACATCATCCTTGTCAGTGGGAGGTGAGGGGGATCAGGCTCTTCTCAGATGGTTCCCAAACGTGGGAGGGGTTCAGAGCCTCCCTCACTCCACATTCTACCCGACCAGGCCCAGTGTCCTTGGGCTGCCCTGATCCCTTGGGTCACCAGGGGAAATCGAACTGAGCAGAGAACAAAGCTTGGCAGTGTCCTCGCTGATTGTGCGGCCACGCCAGCCAAGCTTGTCCAGAGGAACTCGGGGAAGAGAGTGGCAGTGGTCAGCCTCTCTGGTCACTTGTGCTATGCCCTTCACGAACACAGCCCAGCGCAACAGCACAGCGCCCATGGACCCAACATTTACTGAGCACCTACTGTTCTCCGAGAACCAGGCTAACCCAGGAGACAGGGGGTTAGCTGAACAGGTTACCGAAATGCACTTCTGTCCTGGACTCCTGCCTCCTTCCCCAGGAATGTTAGCCGAGCCCTTGTCCCAGAAAGGGCACACCAGGTGTCTGATCCAGAGAAGAAAAGAGAGCTTGGGGACTAGAGGGTATCATCCACCCCCCTGATAGTGCCCTAGGCCATGATCCCATTTCTTTCTCCACTCAGGAGAGTTTGGGGAAGTGTATCAAGGGACCCTGAGAATCCCCAGCCAGGACTGCAGGACTGTGGCCATTAAGACCTTGAAGGACACGTCTCCAGACGGCCAATGGTGGAACTTCCTTCGAGAGGCAACCATCATGGGCCAGTTTAACCACCCGCACATTCTGCGCCTCGAAGGCGTTGTGACAAAGAGTATGAGGATTGGTCTCCATGAGTCGGGGCGGGGGGGGGGGGGGGGGGGGAGGAAGGGGAGGAAGGGGAGAAGGGGTGAGACCACAGGAAGTGGAGGGAAGCTGTTTTGCCAAGGGTAGGAAACCTGGTTCTGGTGGTTTTGGGTGGAGATGGGATGAAGGCTTCCATGGTGACCTACTTTGTGTCTCAGGGAAACCCATCATGATCATCACGGAGTTTATGGAGAACGGAGCCCTGGATGCCTTCCTGCGGGTGAGGAGGGCAGAGGACCAGCTGGGAAGGGGGGTGCACCATGAATCCCTGGTCTGGGAAGAGGCAACTCTGCCCATTCCCTAACCCTTCTCCTTCACCCTGCTGCAGGAGCGGGAGGACCAGCTGGTCCCTGCGCAGCTGGTGGCCATGCTGCTGGGCATTGCGTCTGGCATGACCTACCTCAGTGACCACAGTTATGTCCACCGGGACCTGGCCGCCAGGAACATCTTAGTGAGTCAGAACCTGTGCTGCAAGGTGTCTGACTTTGGCCTTACCCGTCTCCTGAACAACAAGGATGGGACCTACGAAACTCAGGTGAGAGCCCTTTATTTGCCGTGTACACATGTGCACACACTATTTCATGCCGTGCATGCAGGCACAGCTCTACAACAGATACAGGACGCGTGCTCCTGTGGACACAGTGACTTCATGGTGGCCATCCTCCGTGCCCCGAAACACATCCCCGTTCTGTCCTACGTGCCCTTTTAGGGAGGAAAGATCCCCATCCGTTGGACAGCACCTGAAGCCATTGCCAATCGGATCTTCTCCACGGCCAGTGACGTGTGGAGCTTCGGGATTGTGATGTGGGAGGTGCTGAGCTTTGGGGACAAGCCCTATGGGGAGCTGAGCAATCAGGAGGTGAGCCTGGGCACTCCCCACAGTGGTCTTCTCTCCAAATCCTCCCGTGGCTCTTCCTGCACATAGCCTTACTTCTTCCTCGCCCAGTCTTTCTGCACTTCTCTTCCCTCTGGTCCTCTCTGCCTCACACCCTGTGCTTCTTCCTAGTGCTCAGGGGTGGGGATGAGGGAAGTTAGAGGCTCCTTTTTTTTTTTTTTTTTTACATTTTTTATTATTATCTGTGTACATATTTTAACATTGCCCCCCCCTTCCCCAAACATACCTTCCCTCCCCTGAGTTTTTTGTCCATTGATTGTACTTATATGCATGTATTCAAGTCTAGAGGCTCCTTTGCAATGATCTCGCACGAACAGAGATTTCTTAGGGGCTGCCAGGTTAGCTTCCTACCTCGGGCTTCCCTCGCCTCTCGCTTGCCACAGGTAATGAAGAGCATCGAGGATGGGTACCGGCTGCCCCCTCCTGTGGATTGCCCTGCTGCTCTCTACGAACTGATGAAGAACTGCTGGGCCTACAACCCCGACCATCGGCCCCACTTCCACCAGCTAAAGACACAGTTGGAGCGATTGCTGAGCACCCCTCACACCCTGCGGACCATGGCCAACTTTGATCCCAAGTAACTACACTGGGGAGGACGATGATGGGATTCGGAGGGCAGATCTAGAATGGAAATGGGCATTTCAGCCACACCCACCACGTGCTGGGCCTGCCAACCTCCGGGCAGAGTCCAGCACAGGAGGCATAACTGCAGTGTGCAACCCGGGGGGAGTGGCCACCTTGATGAAGATTTGGTCCCACCCTTGACAGCTGTAGTTTGATAGAAGACAGGAAGCAAACAGTGAGATGGGAAGCAAGTATAAGCAGAGCTGACACCTGACACCTGCTCCAGGAAGCTGGGTCACTTACATTGGGGTGGGGAGACAGACTCTGGTAAGTGATGGACAGTAGATTGAGTTTCCTGACTGCGAAGGGCAGCCCTGTGGGGTCTGGAAAGGCTCCCAGATCACGTGCTGCCCAGCATGGGTTTGGGGAGCTGCGGGTGGGCTGATTGCAAATAATCCAGGGTGACATCAGCACCCAGTTCAGGAATATAGGCCAGAGACGAAGCTGGAGAGGTAGGAGGGTCAATACATGGAGGGTCAGTACATGCTCTGCTGAGAAGTTTGGACTTTATCCTGAGCACAGAGAACTATTGACCAGTTTAAAAAAAAAAAACACAAAAAAAGGCAAACAAAAAAACTGCCCATGAGAGGAACATGGTCAGGATTGCATTTTACTGAAAACATTGGCAGGATGTAGAGAAGGAACTGGTGGGGCCAGGGAAGGTGGGAGACTGGCAAGGCTGGATTTCGCATGCTTTATCTGGCAAACCAGCCCTGGCGTACTGGCCTCTGTATCAAACCACCATATATAACCTTGCTTCTGGGAGAAAATGTGCTCCAAGTTCCAACTTTTGCAACTATCTTTTTGGAGCACAACTCCCTTGTACTCTGGAGACGGCATGTGCTAATCTTTCTGGAATGTTGGATATGCTTCCCCCAGTAGATTTACTTTGCTAATGGTTTTTGGCTCCGGCTGGCTTTCGTACAGGAACGCTCATTGTATTGTGGGTGTCAGAGTGCAAGAGTAACAGCCAAGGTTGGAGGTGGCAATCAGGGCTGCTCCCAGAACTCAAGGGGCCACCCTGGAGGCAGGACCACACCCAGGCCCGGGCCTCTGCTCTCCTGCCTCTGCTGCTTCTCAGCTGGGAGAGATGATCCGTTCCCGGAAGAGATGGGCTGATGGTAACCTCGTGTTGGGAAACTTTTCAGGGCTGCCACCTCCCCCAGCATGGTCAGCCTGCCCTCGGCTGTGAGTGCGCCAGGAAACAGGCCAGGAAACGGGTTCACAGACAATGGCCTGGCTAATCCGCAAAGTCTCGATAATCTCTGTGCCCAGACACCAATTTGAATACTGGCCCCAGATGCTCAGAGGCCAGGCCCAGGTTTCAGGAAAGCAGAGGACAGCCCCTTCCCCCTCCTCACATGACTGAAACAGCCCCCGTCCCATCCCACAGGGTAACCCTTCGCCTGCCCAGCCTGAGCGGCTCAGACGGGATCCCCTATCGAAGCGTCCCTGAGTGGCTGGAGTCCATTCGCATGAAACGCTACATTCTGAACTTCCGCTCAGCTGGGCTGGACACCATGGAGTGTGTGCTGGACCTGACGGCCGAGTGAGGACCCTGGGGACCCGGCAGGGGAGGGTTGCTGGGGTTGGAGCCCGCACATTCACGAACCCCTTTCCTTGACCACAGGGACCTGGTGCAGATGGGGATCACGCTGCCAGGACACCAGAAGCGCATTCTTTGCAGTATTCAGGGATTCAAGGACTGAGCCCTCCCCTCCCCCGTCCTGTCCTCAGGAAGTAAGGATGGGGCCAGGGTCACTCAAGTCCTTTCCCTCAGCCTACAGGGCCTTGGTGCTGTTCGGGCCCACCCTTCCCTGAGAAACTTGCCTTTGGAGCCTGGGAGCCTCTTCGTTTTCTAAAGGGAGGTTGGGGTCTAAATCACCGTGCTGGGAAGAGGGTTTAATATATATATATATATATATATATATATAGTTATACACATATATATTTTTATAAGTAAACAGGAGCTGAGTTTTCATCTGGACCCCTGTTTTATTTTTATCCCTCCCGTCTCTTCCATTTGTAGCACAAGAGTCCACTGCTAAGAATTCTGGAAAACAAGGTTTTTTATTTGTAGCTGTAGCCACAACCCGGCAGCATGGGGGCAGGTAGGAACGTCCAGGCCAGTGAGCCCAGCCCAGCCTCCCCGGGGGCTCAGGGGACTCGCCCTCGGCAACCATAGTAGAGGCTTGGGGGGAGAAGGGGGGCAGCTGAGGGCATTTGTGCAGCAGTGAAAGCAGCAGCGCTCAACCTGGCGACCCTCAGGGGGGCGTTATCTGAAGGGTGGTGAGAGGTCCCTGCAGGATGGGAGAGGAGACTAGAAACCCAGAACCGGGATTCTGCATCCTGGGTTCTGTTGGGACCCTGGATCAGGGACCTTGGGATACTGGGTGGGGTTTGGAATGGAGGGAGGGGCTAGACAAAAAAATAACCTAGGGCGGGGCCGGTGGAGGAGCAGGGTGGTCGCTGTGGGTGGTCCACTGACGGAGAATGAACTCCCAGTGAGGAAGGGGCCGGTCCTCACTCAGGTCTGGGCTCTGGCAGTGTGGCACTTCCGGCAGAGCACGTGGCCATCCAGGGGGAAGCAGCCATTATCGTCCGCCTCAATGGACAGAGCCTTCCCACAGTCCTAGGAGAAAGTGGAAGAACCCCTGATGGGAAGGGCCCCTGTGCACCCACACCGCCCCTTCCCCCACTTTTACATTAGCGAGGCCAAGTGCTCAAAAGCTCAGAGTTGATATCCTCATTGTGCCCCCACAACAATACTCATCCCCCACGTTCACTTTTGTCCCCTAGGCATCCAGGACGAGGATGGGCAGTGGGTAGAGCTGCACCCATCCCAATAAAGAATGTGGGGCCATTCCCACATGTCTCAGCTCCATTCTCACTCTCCTCTCTTCTGAGTCTCAGTGAGTCCCCAGGCTGGTCACCACAAAGCATGGCACCCTTCCTTGCCACTGCTCCGTCTCCTATCTTGGCTTATTTGCAACTAAGTGACCCCACAGACACCCCACTACCCGCTTCCTGCAGTGACCAAAGCATCCGGGCTGGGTGGGCCTGGACACTCCCACTGATCACCCTCAAAACTGCAGGTGGGCACTGCTCACCGCCTGGCCAGTGAATAATGTCCCCAGCCCCCAGGGACACTGACCTCACACTTGTAGCACTTCATGTGGAAGTTCTTGTCCAGAGCCACCACTCGCACAGTCTCCTCCCGGCCGGGCTCGGGCATGATGGGCTCTGCACAGACAGAGCACCTGGGCGCGTATTGCCTGGAGGGCAGCAAGGCGGTACAAGTCAGGATGTGGGGAGAGGCACCCGTGCTTTCCCCAGAGCGCAGGGAGAGCAGATGGTGGTGCCATGGCAACAGGCAGACTTTCCTGCCCACCTTCCCCACATCTCAAGGTAGAGGAAGCCCAACAGAAAGGCCTAAGACCAGCCACCCGGCTCTCCTAAAACCCACCCAACCCAAAGCAACTACCACCAGGTCCTCACCCCATCACATCCATCCTGCAGAAAGCACACCCAGAGGAGCCCTGCTGGTCCCATCCCTGGACCCCTGACCCTATCCCGCCCCCCCCTCCCCCCACGCAGGTGTCTCTGCCCGATTGCTGGGAGGTACAGAGGGACATGAAGCCCTGGCCACTCAAGGTGAATCCTAAAAACGCACCCCTCAAACACAGAGGTGGGAGCCAGATTCTGTGGGGTCCCCATATCACCCTCTAGACACCTTACAGGCTTTTGCTGCTGGCCTGAGAAAGGAGCCACCTTATAAACCCTTTCCAGGGGGAACCGGAGTTCCTAACAACTGACCTCCAAAGGAGCATCTACAGCCTGGCCTGCGTGAAATGAAGTCCCTCCTGCATATGTCACCAAACCCCAGACCACAACCAGAAGCTTCAGGGAGCCAAGGGCCGGGGGACCGCCGGGAGCAAGCCTTGCTACCTAGCTTTCAGGCTCCTGGACAACTTAGTCCCGGTGAACTCGTCCCTGCCCTCTAATAGGACATGCGGCCAGAAAACCAGACCAGGGGTTTGGCGCTGCCTTGGGGTCAGAGGGGCAGCCTGGCTCCCAGACAAGCCATGGCTGGCCCCAAAGGTAGTGGCGGGCCCTCACTTGTGGTAGTCGGGGACGCAGTGGGGCCGGTTGGCCTGGTCCACAATGAAGGAGGTGCCCTCCAGGGGGCAGGCGCAGACCACGCAGGTGAAGCACTGAGGGTGGTAGGCTTTGCCCGTGGCCCTCAGCATGCGGTCCGTGATGGGCTGCCCGCAGGTGTTGCACTTCTCCAGGGTGTCCTGAGGAGGGAGCAGTAGGAGATTGGCAGGGAACTGTACCCGACAGCCAGCTGCCAGGTCTCCACACGTCCGCACCCCAACCCCTGGCTGAGCCCCACCGTGGCCCTCAGCCCCAAACCTGACTCACCGTGTAGCAGCCCTCGCAGTAGGGGGCCCCCTCCACGCTGTAGAACTGCTGTCCCTGCAGCTGCTGCTCACACTGGTGGCAGGTGAAGCAGGGGATGTGGAACAGCTGTCCCAGAGCGCGCACCGCGGGCTGCGCACGCGCCAGGGGCTGGTGACACCGGCCACAGGATTCTTCGAAGGCCAAAGAAGATAAATAAATGGGAGTCAGCTGATTTCCTCGAAGAGGGAGTGGAGCCACAGGAATGGCCAGCACCGTAATGAAGGGGTGGGGGGGTGGGGGGAGAGACACGACAGACATCCCAGCAAGGGGGCGGAGGGCTCACCACTGACAGCCACGTTCTGCCTCTGAGGATGCTCCATGTCCTGCATGAGCTGCTGGGTCAGCTGCTCCAGCTCCTCCACCTCCTTCAGACTCAGGGGTCCGGGGGCCCCAGCGGAGCGCACCTGAAACCCCAACACTCTCTTTATACTTTCTTAAGGGTCACCCCCACCAAGAGCATTCCCCAACCAGCTTACCTGCTTTTGTCCAGGAAAGCTCCCCTCCCACTTCCCAGGTGCTCAGATTGGACCCTGAAAGCTCCTCTCTACCCCTCCCAGACCCCAGGATAAGAGGGAGGGGACGACCCTGGGCAGCTACACACAGGCCAAAATGACTGAGCGGACGGAGGCCACGCACACAGCAGCTCAGGTCACTGAAAGCACCGGACACACCAGGCCACGCATCAACTCCACAGAGCATGCTGGGACATGGCCCCCCACAGGAGAGGTCGTTACGAGGGGCTGCACACCCAGGCGCGCACACACCTACCCGTCCCGCCTGCTGCTGAGCTGCTCTGTCAGCGTGAGGATACAACACAGGCAGGAATCACAGGTTAAACCCCACAGCTGTCTGCAGCAGCCCAGCCCCCAGCCCTGCACACAGAGGTCCAGGGTCCCTCCTGACCTCACTTCCTCCCCTGGAGGCCTCAGGGAAGGGCCTATCTTAGGCCAGCCCACAACTGGGGATCCCACTCTTTAGTAGGGGTGTCGAACTCAATCAGAGAAGGGGCCAAAATCTAAAATCCAGCCTAAATCGCGGGCCGAATGGTTTACTGAACAGTCATAAACTTTCATTGTGATGGAAACGCAGCGGAGTGCAGTGATGACAGCGCGGTGTGGGCCACAATGCAAGGCCTGGCGGGACGGATTTGGCCCGCGGGCCTTGTGTTTGACACATGTGCTTTAGGTGATCCTGAGAGACCTTGGGGATGGGGGTGGGATGAGGTTGGGGGCACTGCAGGACCCTGACAAGCACCATAGGCACTGTCTGACTCCACCAGCATTACCATGAGACACTTCGATAGGAACAGTAGTTGGTTTTGCATTAATGGAAAAGTCCACGTAGGACTGTGGTCACTAAAGGTTCTGCCTGCCCATGCCTTCTTCATTCCCGTAACACCTGGAGTCTCCGTCTCCTACCATCTACCTACCTCCTCCCACAGCCACCTCCCTCCTCCCCCCCACCTCAGCCTGGGCCCCACTCTCCCCCACCTCTGCATCCAGAGCTGTGCTGCCTGGAGATGCAGACACACAGAAGGCCCATGATCATCTTATGTCTACAAGGCTCTCCCAGGCACTCTAGCCACCCTGAGCCACCATCACTTATCTGGACCAATCTCAGCCCAGACCACACCACCCGCTTCCTGTTCCTGCCTTCAGGCTACAGAAGTAGGCAGAGAGGCTGCAGAGTGAGTTCACAAAACACAAAACACTGCAGGGCCCTGGTGACCTCAGCCCCGGTCATCCGCCGCTCACAGCTCAGCTCACAGCTCGGCTGTCTGGCTTTCAGCTCCTGCGGGTTCCCAGTGGCCTTCCTTCCCCACAGCAGTTGTTTCAAACATTTCCATCCCCGCGGAGCCCCTCGCTCTCACCAATTACCTCACCGCCTACATGGCTGAGAAGATGGAAGCTGGCCAGCTCGCGCTCCCTCAGTGTTCCTCCTCTCCACAGAAACACTGCGACGATCCTGTCCTTGCTCTCTGGGAACACCACAGCAGGGGGCCATCACCTCTTCTCCTCCAGACTCCGTGGAGCAGCAGCCCCTACTCTCAGGCACCTCTCACCCCTGCACCAGCTTCTTCCTCTTGTGTTCACACACATACCCGAGCCCCTGTCCCCCAAGTTGAAAAACCACACACACACACACACACACAGGCCCTGCCCTAGTCCAACTCTGCCAACCCCCCAGAGCAGGCCACTCTGGAAACTGTTTCCTCACCGCCCATGCAGTCCACAGCTCCTTTCACTGTCCCCATCAAAGGGCACAAATGGACTATCCCACGGCGTCAGGTGACTTCCAAATAGTAAAATCTGTGACCTTCCTGTAATCCTCATCCTCCTCAAACCCCTACCGAAGGGCTCCTCAGCCATCACATCTGTCCCCCAAGATTCCATCCTGACATGACGCTCCTCCTCCTTCTGCCATTGTCCCCCCTCCCACCTGACCAGCGAGGGCATCACCCAGGTCCCTCCCAGGCCCACGGCTCCTGCTGTGCAAGCACCCTGGGCTGCTTCAGTACCACTGCCCTGAAGACAACCTCGAGTCCTGGGCCTCTCCTGCAACCTGGCCCTCCATGTCTAACTGAGTGACAGTTCCAGCTGAAGGCAAGTCCTCCTGGAACCTGTTGCTCAATACGCGGACAGCTGGACCCCTCCTCTTCCCGTCCAAAGCATTTCCCCTTCTGGACTTCTCTATTTTGTCAGCATGACTGTCACTCATTCCCCACACACACCCAGGCATTTTTTTTTTACCCCGCCCCTTCCTCTTCCAACTGCTTATCGGTTACCAGGTCCCAGAGGCATTTCCTTTGAGGGCTCTTATCCCCTCACTAATCTCCAACCTCTAGTACACACCTCGGCTGCAAACACTACCCCAAAAGCTTCCAAAAGCATGGCTGTCACAGATCCTCCAACCCACTCACATACCTACTGGAAAGCTACCAAGGATTTGCCAGAACTGACTGGCTCCCTCGAGCTCCCACCTACCTCTCGGTGGCTCTAGAACTTCCCAGAGGAACCTTCTACTTTTTAGTCTCCCAACACTCTGGTGTATTTGTGCCCTTGAGTTTTGCTCACACTATTCCAATCCCAGAGCCCTTCACTCTCCTCTCTGGATTCTTAAGTCCGACCATCCCTCAGAGCACACCAGCACCAGGACACCTTTCCCATGCTGACTCCTTGTTTGCAGCTTCTACAAATAACACAGAATTCTGCACAGCTCCTGGGTACTTGGCATCTCCTCTGGCCCCATCCGTGCCTGCACATACAGAGACAGACACTCCTGCTGTCCGATCACTCTGTCGCTAGTTGGACTAGATGACCATCGGGATCCCTTCACCTCAGAAGCTCTCAGCTCCTGAACTAAAAGGTGGGAATGAGAGTTTTTCAACGTGGGGCACCCACGTGCTGGATTAAGACCCTC